ACTTCCTACTCCTGCCAACACTCCCAAGTCCCCTGTCTCAAAAAGGACCTGTGACCTGTGATTGTCTTACTTCCTCACACTGCACCACTCTCCCCTGCATACCACATGGGACACTGGCTCCTTGCTCACCACCGTCCTTCCCACCTATCCTCACCTGCAGCACCTCAGACACCCACACAGACAATGCATATCACACTCTGACCATGTGGTTCCTGGGCCTCACCCCTATGACCTTTTTTTTTTTTTCTTAAAAGATTTAATATTCATACGGAACTGGGTACAGGCCAGAGGTACAGGGCAAGTGAGAACAGTCACCGGAGACAGTGGGGAGCAAAACAGACAGGTCTACTGAAATACACTGCTGAGAGGAGCAGCAAGCAGGACAGGAGAAGTCTGCTGCGCCCCGTGGGAAACCCCTCTGGCCAGGGGTGGAACTCGTTCATCCAGTCACAACCAAATCCTGACAGTATTTCCAGTACTTCCCGAATTCAAACTTTCTCTAACCTCCACTCATCTCTTTTCAAGCGTCCTTATTCAAAGTCCTTCAGCAAAAAGATTTTAGACTCAACAAGAGCAGCCAAGCCAATGAGTTCAATGCCTCTTCACAGCTTTACTTGCTTTCCTGCAGAGGTTGGATTCTGGGGTAAAGAGTCAAGAAACATAGGGTCTTATGCAAAGAGGGCTTGGGAGTGGCTGTTCTCCAAAAGACTAAACTCAATTACCATTGAAACCTAATTATCATCTGAGAACAGCTATGTACCACTATGCCAGTTAACTGGTTTCTATCACCTTCAATTATTTATCACAAGCTTGGTTTCTATATCAAAGGATTCCTGTTCTCTTTCCCTAGCAGCCAGCTTTCCCATTCTCTGAGATAACCATTTCACATTTTCTCCTAAATCTTCACTCCCATCTTTTCGAGCGAAACCATTAGACACAAGATCCCTCATCCTCTCAACACTAAATCTTAAGCTCCCCACCATCCACCTTTATCATTCTCTCTTCCTGTTATAGGGGATTCATTGTCCTTCGCTAAGGCCAGTCACCCTGATTCATTCCCATCTATCACTTTAAGGAGTATGTACCTATAGTTATATCCTGTCTAGATCCTTCCAGGACTTCCTCTGGAATGTACCTTTCCCATTAGCATTTAAATGTGCCTTGGGCTCATAATCAAAATTCCTTATCTGCATTCATATTCACCACTAGCACCCCTCTGGTTTTTTATACCACCACCCCAATCTGGCTTCAAGGGCACATAACACCCAAACCCCATAACAGGAAAACAAACAACTCTAAGGATGCATAGATGATGATTTTCCTGAAGTGAAATGCTCTCAACCCATGCAGCTGCATCTTTTTTTTTT